AGTTCCCCAGCAGCTTGGGACTTGGAAAGCAAGAGTTCTCTTTTATTCCCCTAGAAGATAACTGAAGGGAGGAATTCACATGGGGAAAAACACTGGAGAAGTGCTCAAACTGAACAGGAAACATAATACCTGTCTCACATGCTGAAAGACTGTGCAATGAATTACCATGACTAAAGACAAATAGGTGCTAGCCAGGTGTAATGGTAGGCACATACCTAGTGCTATGGGGTTTGTTTTCATGTGAAGTAGGACCTGGAAGATATATATATATATATATATATACTCATTTCAAAAGCAGGCATGAAGCAATTGGGAATAGTAGACATTTCATGCAATTGCTCCGATAATTAAATAAAGATAAAAAAAACAGTAAAGAAAGATTTTGGTCTTTACGCCAAGCAAAAAAGCTGGTGTATAAAAAATCACCTAGTTCCAGCTTAAAACAGGCAAAGAACAGTTAACCAACTAGCTAGAGAAAAAGTGATGCTCATGGCCATTATAGCAATACTTAGTAGAAGGAAAAAGCCCAGTATAAGTAAACCACGAGTTTCAAAATGATGAACTGATGACACTAACCTCTTAGTACAGTGAAAACAATGAAAAAGTTGGGGTTAACTACCATGGTCAGAACTCTTGAGGCAGTATCTGTTATGGATTCTGGTGTAGTCATCCACATTAGAAGGCCACTGATTCACTGCTCCCAACAAACAACCAATTACTTGAAAGTTTTGAGTTTTATTTGTGGGAAGTACAATGAGTTGCAGAAATTAACCAATGAAGTGTGAGAAATGCTTGCAGGAAACTATACACACTACTTGGAAACTCATAAGGATACTGAGATAATATCATTTAAAAATTCATGTTCGGAGCTAAAAATCAGTTATTCCCAGAACAAAAGTTCAGTTCAGTTGAGAAGTTGTTTGCAGTTCAGTTCTCCAGGAAAGAAAGTAAGTAACAAGTTCAAGATGCTGAATGTATCCAATATTCAAAAAAGCTAGCTCACCACTCTAACTTTGATGTAAGTTACAAATGCTATTTCTCTTACTCAATCAACGTAACTAAGAAACTAAATGTACAATATAGTTAGTAACTTGACAATTTCCGAGTATACCTCTAGTAATACAGTGATTGAAGAGTTGTTAAGGATAATAAAGGAACTATTGGAAATTGCTGAGAAATTAATCGAGTTAAGGCAACAACTAATGCAAGTGTTGTAATTACCTCTTAAGAAAGTGTTATTACAGGCTGATTTTTTGTGTAATCTCAATCTCTGAGTCATTCTTTATTCTAACTGGAAACTCCTCGAGTTAGTGACTTATGTGTTCCACTCATGACTCTATCCTCATTTAAATAAATAAGTGTGACTGGTGGTAAAAGTCAAAGCTCCAATGAGTAGCCTGAATGCCTGCCTGTAACAGGCAGATAGGCTTAACACTTTCTGTACTTCCCTGCTCAATGTGGATTTTGGAAAAGAAAAATATTTGCTGTGAGATATAATTGGCAAATTGGTGGGTTACATCATCTTTATATATACATCAATATATAATAATGACAATAAGAAAGCTGTTAAAAAACAAAAACAATAAATAGTCAACTTTTAGCCCATTAGTCTCTGGGAAGACTAGAGAATGGCAACAGAAGGACGTCAAACTACCATGTGATGTAAGTAATGGAACACAAATGTGTTGGAGGTCACCATATAATGGCCTATAAGATCAATGGTGAGAGAAGCCACGAGATGCCCAGGGGTGAAATTCTACCAGTACTTACCAGTATTGAGTACCATAACTTATTTTTTAAAGCAATACTAGTACCAGGATTTATTTGAGCTGCTTTGTTTGTTTTTATGTTTACATGTAAATTTTCTTTTCTTTTTTTTCAAAAACAGGTCCACTTCACCCAACTGAGTACCTCTACTTTTGTTTTGAGAATTTCACCCCTGGAGATAACGAGCCTAATGGGAGTGTTACGTCTCTGTATGTTTGCTTGTTAATTC